GCTTGCCCTGGTAATGGAACCCGCAGAACCCATTGATACACAAATGTTTGCTCGAGCTTTCGTGGCAAATAAGTGCGCCAGTAATGGTAAATACAAACACGTGCAAACGCACAGATTGCGGGGTGGAGCTTTGGCTTTGCACACTTTTTGGAATTGCGCCCGAGTTGCGGACAATTGCGCCCGAGTAGCGGCTAGCGAGAATTTGCGCTCGAGTTGCGGGCTCGTTTTCTCTCGAGCGCTTCACCAAGCAGCTAGGCAACCTCAAAACGTGCTCGAATTGGATTTGAGCAGAAAAAAAGCGCTCGAATGCCAAAAATTGTCTGGAGCACTGTTTTGTGTATCAAAGGGTCCTCCACGAAAGGACTAAAACCTGCGGTCCCCTGGTGGTTTCATTTTGACCCATACCGAAATATCACCAGGGTGATTCTTGGTTTGGTATATCCATATTGCTCCCAGCATCAGCTTAGCCTTTTAGCTTTTTAGTGTTTAGTGGTAGTTTCCATTTAACCCATTCAAAGTTCGTCACTTTTCGCGTGGATCTGATGGCAGCCCAGGTTTGAGAGTCCAGGCCCCTCTTCGTTTCGTCCGGGAGCGTCCTTGTTTTTTTCGTCACCGAGGAAGGGCGTCACGTCGCGCTCGCAGAGCGGGGAGCTCGCGAAGATCTTGGCGCTGATCGAGGAGTGCCAGATGCCCATGGACGAGGCGAAGCCCGATCGCCGGGCTGCGATTGCCCCACGCATTTAAGAGTTTTAACAAGTCTAACTCGATGCCTAGACAGTCAAAATGCCCTGAAACAATAACCTTTTTCGACACAGCATCCTTTTTGCATTTCCTGTCAATTGTTGGCCTTTCGGCCATTCTTCAACTGGCAGAGTTTGAGCATGATTATTGCATTGTTTTTTGGCGGCTTGTGTCGCACAACTTTCCGCAATTTCGGCGAAACTTCCCACAATTCCGGCGAATTTTTCCGAATGGGAAACTTGAGTCTATTCCGGCGACTATGAGTATTATTCTCCTTGAGCCTCAGCGGTCTCATTCCGGCTGTTTTTGCTGTTTCCGGCAAATTTATGTGACTTCGGTTGAAATTTGACGCATTTCGGATTCCGGCTGAAATATCCGCCGAAAGAGTTTCTAGGTACTCTGAAATACTCCAAAGATTCAGTTAGGCTAAGACAACAAACAGCTACTTTTTCTTTAAAAAAAAACAAACCAAAACAAGAGCTAAAGCCATGCGAATTTGTTGGGGGGGGGTTCTGAGGTGTCGGACACCTCTGCAGGTGCTCTTCGGCGCCTTCGCGGACGCGTGCATCCGCTGCGGAAACCTCAAGCTGCTGTGGCAGCGCTTCGAGCTGTTGAAGCAGAAGGACCTCACCCAGGCGAGAACAAAAAGAAACGCGAAAAGCGGCCCATGGTGTTTTTTTTGGGACCCCAGAATAAATCAAGGATCTGTTTTTGTTTTTTGTATATTCCCGTAGGGCTGTTTTGGCTCTCCAAAAGTGGCCTGATTCCAACTACCCCATAATCAACCAACCAGTTTATTAATATGGGGGGTGCTTCTCCCTGGGTGAAATGTGGGGACTCACGGAGGGGCAGGGCTTTTTAAAGTTCGGGGGGTGGTCAGATTCTCTCCAATAAACCCAGGGACACCCGACACCCGCCTATGAATAAGTTGATTAATATGGGGTCGACATGACTGTGGATGGTTGCGAAAACACAAAAGTGGTGCAGGATTTCGTCCATACACAGTAGGACCGTTGGTGCACTTGAACTTCAAAGCTCGCAAGAAGCAGTCGCACCAGGAGTTTGGTGTCGTGTTGAAATCCGCCCAAAAATTGGAGATGGATGAGGTAGGCCAAGCTTGTCCTAGAAACAGTGGCAAAACACCACCCCTGTCGCACGAAATTACGTCGTTCACTCCATGAGTTCCTATGTGATGACTCAAGTTCGGACTCCAATAGCCAATCCACGCATGAATTGAGAAATTGATATCAGGACACCCTTGTTGGATTTCAATCCGTTGTTCTAGAGGGTAAAATGGAACACCACCCAACCTCCAAGCCATCAATCCAACCCGTACAGGGGAGTTAACGACTGTGAAATTCAAAGGGAGCCCCTCAAAAGTGGTTTGTGGACAGTCCGTGAAAAGATGATGCCCACCATTTCGGGTCCCCTATTCCAATCTAGTCGTTGGATGTCCGAAGTTCGTCATCGTCACTTTTAGCGGGGCATCTGGGGGCAGCTATGTCAAGCGGATCCAGTTTCTCCAGGTCTCCGGCCCCACCTACGGCAGCATGATGAAGGCCTTTGGCCAGGCTCAGGACGTGTCCACGGCCGCTGGTCTCAGACTCTCAGATCGCGGTTCGGTCAACACATCGGGCGTTAAAAACCAACCCTTGGGTTTTTTTGGTTGCACGCAAACCAATTGCCAAGGGTCTGGTCTGTTTTTGCGGGTTTATTTCCCAACCCTAGGGTTTTTTGGTGGCGTGCAAACCAATTGCCACGGGTCTGGTCTGTTTTTGAGGGTGCCCTTGTTCGTTGGTTTTGAAGGTAAACCAAATGGAAGCTAAACCAGGTTTGGGGGTCGCCGAACAAACGTGATACACCTATATTGGGGGGTATGGGGAGAGTCTCTGAACTGATGTCCACAGCTAGCCTTCGCATCTCTTGACCGCTATGCAGGGTGTTGAGCCTGCATCGGACAGTCCGAGGCTCTTTGGTTGGACTAAACCAGGAAACAGCTTGAGTCTTGAGTCCGCTAATCGGTGGGGACCATATGAATGAGGCCTGAAGCGCTTGTCCTAGCAGCAGTGGAGACTTAAGCTTTCGGATGAGATGGTAAATGACACCGCATCCTTCTTAGATACTCTCAGGGAACCCACATCCAGCCACTTGCTGTAGCGACTAGGGAAAGCCTCTCCTCGGAATAAACACACACCTTTGGACTCTAATTACCTGCAGATAAACACGGAGCCCAACAAACAAGTTCGTGTGTGCTGAGCACCCTCCTTGGTGATCCCTGTTTAAGGCCGGGCTTTCTTTCGGGGTATGGGAGTTGGCCAAGTCACAATTGGGGTTCCTTTGCATTTTCCGTCCATCTTTGCGCGTTGGGTGCCAAATGGTAAAATACTGGGGGGCAAGTTCCTTCTCTGAGTTTGCTCCAAGTAGCGGTTTGGATGGGTGTTCTGGAGGCTAGGGCCTGGTTTCCAACTTGGGCTTGTCTTAAGTTTGGGACCCTCCCAAATTGGTGGTGTTCCTTTTATGTTCCCTTTTAAAACCAACCGAAAGCAGGTTCCCAAAAAAACCGCGAGGCCCATGTACACCATTTGCAAGCTTCAAATGTCCAAATTCTTCAAACCAGCGGGTGAGACTGGTGGGCACTGTTCCCTTTAACACCAACGGGGCTTCCCCAAGAAAGCCGCCAGGCCGCTTGTAAGCACTGCAAAAGCGAAAGCACCGGAGCCGTGAGGTGAAGGAGCTCTGGCGGCACATGACGACGAAGAAGGTGAAGCTCACTGCTGTCACCTTGGGCTGCATGGTGGAGGCGCTACCCATTGGATCATGGCTGGGGAGGGAGGGGAGGGAGGGGAGGGGGAGGGAGCCCAAACAAGCCCCAGAATAAGGCTGTAGTAAGGGCTTAATAAGAGCTTATTATTGTTTGGGCTCCCTCCCCTCCCCTCCCTCCCCCGCAGTCCCCATGATTGGACGTCCAAAAGGAAATCGACGGGGGGCTCCACGGGAAAACCAGACGTACACCCAGTGGCGCAGGTGAAGAGCCTTCGGTGTGTTTGTTGAGGGGGGCTTCCCTTTAAGCAATCAACATCCAAAAACAAGCTTTTACCACTGGCAGTTTGTTTTTTGTTTTTCCGCTTTTCTTGGTCGCTTTTTGGTTCGACAAAGGAAGGTTTGCAGGGGGGTCGAAGACCAACGAAAGTCTTGACCAGCCTCCAGTTTCCTCAAAGAAGGGCCTTAAGGTTCTCGATTCTAGTTCAAAAGCTTCCCTTTAAGGGACCCAGTTTGAGTGCAGGCTTTGGTCACGAATCACCACGTCAGCGATGCCTGGCGTATCGTGCGGGCGCTCAGCGGGCCATGGGGCAAGCTGAAAATTTTGGGTCCCAAGTTTGGCCTGTGTCCTGCTTGTGACTTCCCCAAAATTAGCTTTGTTTTTTTGCTTTTTTGGGGTCCCTTTGTTTTCCACTAACCAGGCAAAAACGATATTTTGTTGCTGGGAGGTGAGACTTGGGCTTGTCTAAGCCTTGTGACCATCTTGACAAAGTCGATCTTTCGTTTGGGGCGCTCATCTTTTTTTGTCCAGTTGAGCACCACAGAATTGCACCACCACCCCAAGCCTCCGGGAAAACAGAGATTAATGACCCATCATGCGGTGATGGGCAAGGTTCGACCTGTTTTGTTTGAGGATTTTAGTGCGGGCCTGCGTATACACCTTATAATTGATCACCGTTTCAGTACTGTAAGTTATCTTCGAATTGGTCGGAAGCCCATACTAATCAGGGGTGGCTCACCCTTTAGTCATTTTCGAAGGAATCTCCTAGATCAATGGGATGTAGTGTCAGCGCCTTAGATACATGTATAGGGAAATATTTTGGGCACATTGACGTTTAGGTAGGCATGTTTGTTTGCCATGTTAGTTGGTGGGTTTCTCTTCGAATTCCAGCAAGCGCAAACGGCTGTCGTGGTTTCAACTGGCCTTAGTTCTTGGCTCCGGAAATTCGTGACTCGGACATTTGTTGGGAGTTTGGAGGGACCCTGCTTTTTCAACCCTCAATGCTGTGTTTGGGGCCCACAAACCAAAAGGTAACATGGAGGACGAAAATCCGTTGCTTGGGGCTTAAAACTTGGTGGCTCCCAGCCATCCCCTTAGCCTTTTAGCCTTTTAGCTGTTTAGTGTTTAGTGGTTGGATTTCCGAATTTAACCCACTAAAAGTTAATGACCTTTGGCTGGGGATCTGAAAACGAACGGCCCAGAAAACCAGGACCCAGAATCTTTCAGCCCAGGTGAATGATACCTGGCTCAAGGAAGATCAACGCGTGCGGAGCCCAGAGCCCCGGTCCTGCGACGGGGAACACCTCCAAAACGGGTACCGCTCGCTCCCTGGGTCTAAAAAGGAACTTGATCCTGTTTGGGACGACCATGTTCTTACCTCTTAAAAACACAACTTTTCAACTTGTTGGGGTTACATGGGCTATATGTCTGTAAAAGATTAACTTCCCCAGGGCCTGGATTTTTAAGGGGTAAGTGTTAGTTGGCAAACCAAATGCTCGGACTTGTTTTTGCCCAAGCTCCTGGAAGCGAGGGAAGATGTTCGGCCACTTCCTGTACCAAGAAAGCTCGCCTTAGTGACCAGATAGCCATCCCCACCTTGCTTCCATTTGCTTAAGTTCTTTTGTTGCTATTTTCCCCTGTTGGTTTTAAAGGGAATCTATGACTACTGGAAGTTGTCCAGGGGGCTTAATCAAATGGAAGTTTGGAAGTGCAGAAGTGGCGTTCCATGCCAGTAGAGCCGGCGAAGCCGGCGGAAGTGTCAAGAATAGGAGAACCATAGTTCGCTTTCTCAGGGGTCCCTATGACACTATGTTTCCCTTTTTGGTGGGTTTAAACGACAGTAAACTCTTGTTCTACCCGAAACGGGTGTCCTGCATAATGTTGCTCACTTCCTGAGTTCATGAGCTTTAAACTTTTTGGGAAGACCATTTTAGTGGTAAATATAAAAAACATGGTTTCTTGTTTTGGGCCATCTCAGCCAGTGAGTCTGAGGACCTTGTCAACACTGTGATTTACTCCACCATCGTCAAGGGCTTCACCATGTCCCGGCAGCACGACAAGGCGCGCTCGTTGCGAGCCGCGTCTCGAGGTCGCTCAGCGAGGGGGCAGAATGAAATCTGGCGAGCTCACCTACAAGCGCATGAAGGTCCTTTTCTTAGGGATCCCATACTTGAGGTCTTGGCATGGTGGAATTTGCAGCTTGAGTGGCTGTGTGTTTTTTGAGGGAGCCCTTTGCAGGTTGGCTTAACAAAAAGAGCAGAAGAACAGCTACAAAACGGAACCCTCCTTATTTTGACACATACCCATGTGATAACAATTCTGAATAGGGAACCCGAAGTGGTTGGTGGTTGCATAAATCCAGCGGTGCAAATGATCACCAAAGAGTTCAAGTATGTAGAAATCCGATCAGCGCCTCAGTTCCGAATTTCCCCAGGAGGATTGTCAGTTTTCCCACGGTCCAGATCTCCACCTCAAACCTGCCACAAGACAACAGAGAACGGCCGGAAATATATATATATATATATGTGTGTATGTATATATATATATGTTTTACAACTGGTATTTGTTCATTGCACATTCGCGGGGTTAAACCATTAAGCAGACATATCCAAGTAAATGATGCCCCCAAAGCAGTGCCTGATTTCAATTCACCTCCCCAGAATAATTGTTTTTTCGAGCATCCTCAAGTGAATCCCAGATGATGAATTCATCAAATGTGGGTTGGACCGGGTTGTTTCGTTCCTGGGTTCAACATTAAGCAGGCTCGCTCCGAACTTGTAAAAGCTGATCGACGCCTGAAAATTGAACGGGTTCTTCTCTTGTACCGTTGTACCAGGACCCATAGTTTGACCCTTGACTCCGTGTGCTGCGTTTGCAACTTGTTTTTTGGGAACCAAATTGAAATCAGCGGGTGTTTATGTCCTTGCAAACTGGCCGGACACACTAATTAATGTTGACCATCAACCTGCAGGCAGATGAACGGGGCGGGCGTCTGTTTCCAGAATGTGAAAGAGTCCCTCTAAAAGGCCTTGCTTCCTGTAATGTTCCATCAAACTGACCGTTCAAGGACACCTATGCCAGTTTTCTACTGGTTGATTCCCCATTCTTTTCAACCATCGTTCTTTCCAAAAACCGGATCCGTTCTCCCTGGGTTTCCGGAGGTTTTCTAGAAAGATTTGGATCCCTGGAAAGAATGGAAATAGAAGGCACCTCTAGAAGCTTCCCTTTCGAGCAAGTTATGCGGCCGTGGGTCAACACCAGTGGTACCATTTTGGGGTAGGTGCACCACCCATTTCAGAACCTATAATAGTCAGGATTGGGATGTTCACTGGGGGTACGGGGTTGTGACCCATAGCCATGTTTTTGCCGATCGTCAACTCCGGCGCTTCCAGCTGGACCTGCGCAGGTTGTGGCCATCTACAAGGAGATGAAGGCCGGGCGATCTTTGCGCGGGCCAAGCGGCCCTCACTGAGCATACCATGACTGACCTTTTCGGGATTCGGTATTTCAGGCTTTGGAATTATGGTAGGGGGAAACCAAAGGCGAAACCAAAGGAACAGATGATGGGTATCTACTACAACAAAGCCAACTAACTGTGAGTGCTCATAGTTTGTGCCATCAAACCAGCTCCCTGGTCTTGAACTTGTGTTGAGGAGGGTGTTTCCGTGAAACTTCAAGCGAGCACGCCAATAGAGAAATGAGGCAACTACTGAAAGGGTTGCTATGTAGGGAACCAAGACGTGTAAGTCTGCCTTGAAAAATCCAACAAATAGACTTGTTTTTGAGACAGGGGACGGGGAATGGCCTGGGTGCTACCTTGTTCTATATCCCCCCAAGCACACAAAAAGGGCATGGGCAATGCGTAAAACAAACCCAGACGCCGTTGAAGCCACCGAGAGTCTCGGGCCGGTTGAATCCAGGAGCGTGGCATCGCCTGCAACACCATTACCTTCAACACCATGCTCAACGCCTTGGCGCGCCGGGAGCCCCAGATGGCCCAGCGTTTTTGGATGTTTTCGGCCCCTGGAAACTCGGTGGCTAAGCCAGCCATTCGGTTCCTTAGCTTTTTAGCCTTTTGGTGTTTGGTGGTTGGATATCCGTATTTAACCCCAATAAAATTTAAACTTTTAGCAGGGGATCTGAGAGCAGCCCAGTAAAACGAGCTCATATGCCAAAAAGGTCGTAAGGCGATGGCCCAAAACATCGAATCGGTTTCGGCTTCCCGGTTCCGAGCCGCAGCTTTCGACGAGTTCGGGGGGGCTGCCTGAGGCTGCGGCATGATGCATGAAGTGCCGCGTCTCCTGGAGGTGGGACCCGATGAATTCGGACGCGTTTGGGTTGGTGGGCTCCATTTGACAGACTTCCCAGCGGAATAAGGGGTAGTTTCTTTGTAAAGAGACATGCCCCTAGGTCTCTGTTTGCCTCGGGGTGATTTCAACGGCTTTTGGTCGCCCGCTGAAAGTGAGCTTCCTGTTGGGTCATGTTTCAGGGGGAAACGTTGGGAGGAACCACAAGCAGAAGGAGCAGTCTTGCTGCGAGCTTCAAAAAGGCCTCAGCTCTGCCCTTGCTGCCCTTGCTGATTCATAGCTCACCCAATCTTGCCTGAGCCAGCTCCTCTTGCAAAGGACCGATCTGCCAATCACAAGACCACGCTTTTTGCAGAAAACTCACAGTGCGGCCTCAGGTCTCCCGAGCGAACTTGCTGCCAACAGCCCCCTCTCTGCGGCGTGGTCCACCGGATCCAACTCTCGGCCATCTTCAGCCACAACCAGTGATTCCATGTCCTTGTGGGTAAACAAGCGAACCACCATGAACCACCCTTTAGCCAAATGAACCATGGCTCTGGCAACTGGGATCCACTAAAGTAGGGCTAGCACATTGTTGAACGCAATTCTTTGGCTTCCTTGTCCAAGGTACCATTTGTCTACCCTTGTGCCAGACATTTCGGAGAAGCAGTGCAGATCTCTCTCGTGCCAGCCGGTCACAATTTACTTGCATATTATTTTAGAGGGACATTGCAGAACTCACGAAATTTACAAAACAGGAGGAGCATTGGGACGCCAGCCCGAGGCTTTCCTTGGAGACAAACCCAACGGAGCATCTTGTTTGAGGGGGTGTAACACAAATCGCCGGACACCTCTCAGGTCCCCTTCAAGTCTTAAGCCTTGGTTACAGATTGGACATTTCTCGCCCTGTGGACTGCACGCGCTCGGACACTGAAAAAAAACACATGCCGCAGCCCTGTCCGCGTTGATGGCAGCGAACGGATTTGACAGGCGCACTCCCGTGGAATGTATCGCGCCGCGCGATTGGCAGTCAACATCGTGACGTCAAAGTGCACCTCCAAATATGCGGTGGCCGAATTGCTGGACCCTTCGGATTGACGTCCACCCACAAAAGCCTGCAGGTCCCTTCTGACGCCTGAAACCAGTGAGTCGGCGGAGGGGGTCTGGGTCTTTTTGCAACACTTAGACACTTTGCCCAGCGATTGATCAAGTTGTCCATTGAATGAAGACATCCATAAACAAGTCGATCAGCTTGGCTTGCTTTTGGCAGACGACCCCAGTTTGCTGACCAACCCCTTGATTGAAAATGAAACAAATCTTGCCACTCCTCCGAGGGGCCGGCTTTTTCTTGGTTTCCTTCAAAGCGGTGAGTAGAAAATACCCGTCGTCATCTGCCACAGTCGAAATACACTGTTCCCAATGTCGTGAACATGAGACTTTGTTGGAACCTACCCAACGCTATGTTCCTCAAGAAGTCCCACATCCGCCAATGCACAATGAGCTGATAGCGGTCTGATATTTTTGGACAGAGTGCGGCAACCAACACCTTTCAGTGGGAGTGATCCATCAAAGTCATAGAGTACCACCTCACCCACCCACACACACACACACACACACACGCTGACCGGTGAACGCACACGATCCGCAAACCGGCACGCTGAGGATGTCCCTCTTTTGGACACCTCTGCTTGAGGTCCCTTTTCAATTGTTTGTGTCTTGCTTTTGGTGAGCGTTTTACAATCCTTTTTCTATCAAAGCAATCAAGTTTCCAATTGTAGTTGCACTCCAAGATAGTGTCCACTGCTCCAAACCACTACCCCCAAAGTTTAATCTAGGTCCCCCACTAGTGCTCTTTTACCCTTTTTTTGGGGAGGCTTCCCCTACTAAACTAGACTCCAGAAAAAAGTTGGCACCCCTATTCTAACCTCTCTACTGGAGGACCTAGCTATATAGCAGTGTGGGCTGGTTTCCCATGATGCCATACAACTGGTTGATTAACTCGTGAGCTCCTAGTAATGGACCTGGTATACAGCCACCGCAATGCTGCTATCCCCCCCCCCCCCTCGGTTTTCCCTGTGGACATCCCCCGTCAAACACCCGCCCCTGGCCAGGACATGCGCGACAGCGACCCGCCGGTGCATCCAGACATTGTCACCTACTCCACCATTGTAAAGGCTGGGGAAAGGAGCCAAGCAGCTTTGGTTTTTGTAAAGTTGTGCTTGGAATGCTAGACTTACGAAACTCCAGGGAGCAACCATGTTCGGAGGTTTGGCTGACCGTGCATGGGGCATCGGGACCCACCCCTTCAAACTAAAATTGGACCTTCAAAATGAAGGGGGAGGGAGTTCTATGGCGAGCTTACGCGGAGGCAAAACGAGCTCACAATGATGTGGGTTCGCTACTTGGGTGTTCCCCGTTTCACTTGTTGACAGTTGTTGCAGTTACTGTGAAATTTGGAGATTTGCAAATAGTCCCTTTTGTGGGGTGAGAACTTGAAAATGGAGCAGGGGACCGCACAGCCGCTTTCGTTAAGATCCAGGGGGTCTTGGTATGATGTTGACGCCTGTTTGGGGAACAGAAGGGCCCGCCATGGGGCCTGCGTTTGTGAAATACCTGGAAAAATCAGAACCGCACGCATCAGTACACCATTCCAATGTACTCTGGAAAAGGACATGTGACCCAAACCTTGAGAAAACCAACAAAAACACAAACACCCCGAGAAAGCCTAAACCCCCCCCCAAAAAAAAAGCAACCCCCTGGGGGAAATGACCAGTACCTCCCAGGTTTGTTTGTTTTTTTTTTTTAAGGGGGGGTTCTCGAAGTTTTTCCACTTCCCTTATTGTCCCCTCAGTGTTTTCCGATTATTTCTTTCATATTATCTCCCAGCATTCCATTATATAGCATTCCCTTACCATTGTCTGAGAATTCTCTTAAAAGTCATATTATGTCCTTGAATATTCCCCCATCCTTGCCATATTCCTTTAGTATTCTCTTGCCCCTAGTATTCTCTCAGCACTCCCCAGTATTCCTTTAATATTCCTCAATATTCCCCTAGTATGTTCCTAATATTGACAATACTTCCCTAGTGTTCCCTTAATATTCCCCTACCCCTTAGTATTCTCTATTCTTTTAGCATTATCTCACCCCTAGTAGTTGTATTCTCCTAGTATTCCCCTAATATTGCCCTAGTAGTCCTTAGTATTTTCTTGGAATACCCCTAGCATTCTCCCAATATTCCCCCAGTAACCCGAGCATTCCTTAGTATTCTCTTGGTTTATTCATAGTATTGCCTCCCTAGTATTCTCCTAGCATTTCCTCTTGTTATTCCCCTGGTATTCTCTTATTATCCCCTCGATGTTTCCCTAGTTCTTTGCGACTCAGAAACTGGAGCGCAGATGCAGGATACCAGGGGAAGTACAAAGGGGAATGGAGAATACTAGGGGAATATTTGGAGAATACTAGGGGCGCACCCAGAAAATATTAAGGAATACTGAACAGCATTAGGGGAATACTATGGAAATACAAATCTAGGGGTAAGGGAATGCTAAAGAAGTAGAGTACTATTAGAGGAATACTAGGGGAACACAACTCTGGGGGTAAGAGAATTCTACAGGAATGGGGAATAGCAGGGGAATGTTGAAGAAAAGGTAGGGAAGTACTAAGAAGCTGCTAAGGGGAATATTGAAGGAATATGTGGGGAACACTTGAACACTGAGAGAAGATTAGGCGTATGCCAAGACAATACAAAAGGAATTTGGGGAATACCAGGAGAATACAGAGAAGATTATGAGGCAATATGCGTGGAATATTCGGGGAGTACCAGGAGAATACTAGGAGAATAATAAGGGAAATGCTAGGGGTATATATATATATATTAAGGGAGCACCAGGGGATCACAAAGGGTGAATACTAAAAAAACAGTGGGGGAGTACTGAAAAGCATACTTGGGAATAGTTACTAGGGGAACACTGAGGAGATACTAGAGGGTATAACAGGAGAGAACTAAAGGAACTTTCTGGGAATACCGAGGGGATGCAAGAAAATTATTGGGGAACATAAGGGTATGCCAAGAAGATACCAAAGGCACACTGGGGGTAATGCTAGGGGCATAATTCTAGGAGGGTACTAATTAGGGGAATACTGAGGGAATTTTGAGGAAAGATGCTTGTGGGTGGTCTTCTCCAAAAATCACCAAAGACTGCATGTGCGAGAAAAGGTGCATCCATCTATGCCAAAGTGTAAAAACAGGCTGATTTCAAAAACACAGGCCCCATGGCGGGCCGCTCTCTTGGGGAAAGGGGTTTTTATTGGGGGTTCTTCATTTCAGGAGACTCTGGGCTGCTGCATCGGGGCCATAGTGCAATTTCAGATAGTTGTTTTCCGCTCTACTGGTGACAATAGCGAGGCAGCCAATCGCGGGCCTGGCTTAGCATGATTCCGAGGATGCTGAGCGACCGATGTTGGTTACATTTGTGCGTGGTGTGGTTGTGCCTTGGCTAGTAGGCATTTGTATGTATTTGTCGGTCGATCTGCAAGCAGTGCGGTTGGGGTTCACATAGAAGTCATGTAGCTTGTTGGATGCAACAAACTTAAAAACTGTCCCGATGCCCAACGTTGTCATCAGATTCATTCGGATCCCTACCGAAACCTATTCGCATGTACCCCTAGTTGTCGTTGTTGGGAAAACAGCTGAGATCTTGGTGGTGGTGTTCAATTTATCCATATATGTTTGCAACTGTCCTATTGGCTAGCAACTGCAGCAATTTTATGTTCCTGAAAGGCAGTGTGGCTGAACAGTCCCATGTTGCGTCATGGTGCACGTTGTGCATGTACGACTTTGCTTTCATGCGCTTGCCTTTCGAGCTGTTTGAAAGTACAATGATTACCCTTGCAGAAACAGGCAGGAATTTCCGGTTGTGAAAGCCTGTGAGCTCCCAAAAAGGAGGTTCTTGTGGGTTTGTTTAAACATTTTTATTTATTTTTTCGCCAGTTTGCAGTAAGTCTCCTTTGGCGATGTTGTCTGGTTGGACATTCGTTGCCCGGGATCCTGTCAAATGTGGCTGGGCCAATATTTCCTTGTTCTATGATATTGTTGGGTCAATCTAGGTCTTTCTGATGAGGGTATTTGTTTTGTGTTTGTATGTTAGGGAAGCCCAAAGGAAAGCTACCCTTTGCAGGGTTCCCTCAAAGGATCAAACACCTGGGGCACAGTCCTATCCGCCTTTGCTAGGGCTACTGTATGGCTGGGGACGTCGTCTGGGGCTCAGCATCGGGGTTCTTGGGCTTCCCTTTTTTGGGAGAGGCACTTTGTAGAAAACACAACCTCTCAGTCCCTTTCTGATTTTTAGAAGGCGATTGGGAATTGGTTTGAAACTGGTTGCGCTTGTTTTTGGCCCATCCACGAGCTGCTAGTTGGGGCGCTGTTTGTGGTTTGCTGCTGGTTTTGCGAGCGTTTCTGGGTACTTGGCGATTTGCCGGGGTGCTGGATCCGTTGACACCGCGATGGCTCAATGTTCCGCTCAAGCCGGCCATCGCGAACTCAGGGGTGCTCGGAACCTCAAAGCAATGACCAAACTGAGGGTGGAACTCTTTGATTTGTTTGTCCTTTGCCAGCGACCGGACATGGAAGACCGTGTGGGGTCGTAGCAACCCTGAGAAGCCTGGGGCAAAGAGTGAGGCGGAGCCCCGAAAAGGGCCGGAAGATTCGAGTCTTAAGCCTGGGGTTTGGGGTTGACGGACACGCAAGCCTGAAGTTCACCAAGTTCCGGGCAGATGTGAATGGGAGAACTATCCCAAATGATTCCCATTGCTTCCTCAGCGTAGGCACTGAACAAGTGGAAAGGGTACCACATCAACATGTCCAACAGCGTGTGGTGTTTTTTTTGGGTTTCCTTTAAACACAAGCCCAAACAAAGTATGTTCATGAAAAGGATGAGCCCTCAACATGGGCGGAAGCTCCAAACAACCTTAAGACAACCAAAAGGGTTGAAGGTTTCAGAAGAGACAGTCGACACTCAGGACAAGGGCTTCGCACTGCTCAAGGAGATGAAGACCCATGGCGGCGTGAAGCCTGACGAGGCGCGTCACGCGCTCCTCTCTTCCCCGAATGACCCAGAGTTCCACCATTTCCCTTCATCTACAGACGTGTAGCTGTCATTTGCGTGCATGTTCACAACTCTCTCAAAGGCTGACGCCAGTGCCCTTTTACCCTTTTTGGGGGAGGGTTCCCCTTCTAAAATAGACTACCGAAAAAAAGGTACCCTTATTCTAACCTCTCTACGGGAGGAGCTAGGATACATTTATCTTCACTTCCCCTCTCATCTTCCTTCAGCTGCGCGCCCACACGCCTGGCAGATCTTCAGTTCCTCGCTTTGTTCAGTTCCTGCCGTCACGGCCGGGTTCGAAGCCAGCGGCGGGTGGAATCCTCTCGTCAAAAGATGCACCCCTGGCCAGGCCAACACCTAGGAGAACCAGGAGTTGGTTTAAGCAGCAGGGAGCTGGCCCAAATGCAAGCTGGCCTATCCTCTTTTTAACATGTAAGCGGACCGGGGGCTTCCCCAAAAGGGAGGCTTTCGGCTTGCGAAACCCTATGATCGTCAGTTTCCGTGATTGTTGAGGGCAAACTGCTCAAAGGCGATTGCCCTGGAATAGTTTGCTTGTCAACTTGCTAGCAAAAATGGACAGAACCGTGGGAACTCCCAATTCTGTATGATGCAGGGAACCTCTTCGGATGGGGGAATTCAGCATTGTGGCTGGTTTTCCAGTATCACAGAAGTGGAAAGGCAAGTCCGGCCAATTTTGCCCTGGATTTTGCAGGGCGGTCTTACCATTTTCAAGTTACGGTGCTTTACATCCAAGGTATACAGTTGGTTTCTTGGATTAATTCCGCATCACCATTGTGCTTCAGTTTCCTTTTTGGTGTCGTGATGTTTGAAGATTACAACTCCCCTACCCCCCCCCCATATCTCGTTCCTCGCCTGATTGGGGATCGCCCGGCGAATGGTTGCAAGCAAACCAATCAGAAATTGGAATGGAGGATCTGAAAATCCGCCAGGGCTTTTCTCTTATCCCTTGGTGTCGAGTGGCCCCGCGGCAGGTGCTCTACAACAGCCTGCTGGCCCTTGGGCTGCAGAGTCGAGGCTCCTGACAGCTGATCTGATCCCGTTTTCCAGTTTGGCAAACCAAAGGAACCACCCTATTCATTCATTCCTTCATTCATTCGTTCGTTCGTTCGTTCAGTCATTCATTCATGAAGATGGATGATTGCCTACAATAGTGCTGCCTGGGATCTGGGTTTACTGGAGACCAAATTCCATTTCTTGTGCCATGCTCTTTGGAGCATTGAAATATGACATTTGAGCATTGGTCGCAGATATGTAAACAGCTCCTGTAAAACAAGACCTGACATGTTGATATCCGCTTTGGGAATTTGGCAATGGACAATCCTTTGTACAAAAAGCGTCCAGGTTGAGGGAGTCAGTTAACCCTCACTTCTGTGCTACCTTTTCGGTGGCCCTTGTCCGTGAAGTGCATGTTCGTCTTGCTTGAGGTTTGCCGGCTTTCACCTGGGATTCTGTTTGAGGGCTTACGAAGCATTGTAATCAAGAAGGGACACCGTGCGCTTGTTAAGGACACTAAAGAAAACCAATGATCAAGGTCCGCTAGCGGCTTCTTGATTCAGGTTGGACACCCAAGGCGCCGAATGGCAAGACGCGCTCTTCGATTGCGTTTTCCGTTAGCGCCCATTGTGCTGAACAGGTTTGTTCCTTTCCTCTTTCTTTGTTCGGTGTATCTCACATGCTAGTCGAGCACTGTCACCGATGGCACACCGAATCAAGTTGCTTTTGTTTTGGTGAATCATGACAAGCAGTGCGCACTCTTCGGTATGTTTGGTTAATGCGATGATTTGTGGGCTTCTATGTGCGACGGTTGAGGATGCTGATCAGATGGCCCTAAACCCTGCCCAGTGATTCCCTTGCTTTCGTGGGAGGCTGGCTTGGAAATCAACCACTTGTTGTTCCATATTTTTACGGGACCACAGCTCTGTGCGTGTGTGTGTCCGTTCGTTTATACGGGTCTGGCTTGGTTTGGGGGTACCCTTGTTGGTTGGTTTGTCTGAAAACCAAAGGAAACCACATTTTTTATTTTTATTTTTATGTTTATTTGTTTTTGTTCGGGGGGCAACAGACACACCCATATTTGTGTGTGTGTGTACTGTTTATGCACGTGTTTGTGCATCTGTACGTTTGTGTGTGTGCTCTCCCAGCATCCCAAGCCTCGGAATTGAATTCATGGCGTTTCGCTACATGGCTTGCCAAAACAAGGCGATTGAATCGTTGGGAGCCGGACGTGAGTGCCTGGGGTGTCCAAGAGGGGGGTTCCATTTGTTTGGGGCGATTTTCGGGGTATGGGTCAAAATTCAACCAGCAGGGGGCCACAGGTTTTTAGTTGTTGGTCTCCATTTGCCAGGGATCCAGTTTGGGGTTACCCTATTCTTGCCCCCTTTGCCGTGTGGCATGCCTTCGTGAAGCCCCGCAGCCCCTGGTGCGGCTTGAAGCTGAGGACGGCTGTGCCAAGCAGTCGCGGGTGGAGGATGCCCTGGCCTTGTTGCAGGAGATGAAGGACCAGGGAGCCCGGAGCCCTGGGCCTGGCGCTCCTTTTGGCGCCCCTTTAAAACCCGCAAAAAAAAGAGGAGCACCCTCAAAACTTGGTGGCTCCCAGGCATCCGGTTCCTTTGCCTTTTATAGCTTTTTGGTTGGTTTAGTGGTCGGATGTCCGAATTTAACCCACGAACAGTTCGTCACTCTTGGCTGGGCATCTGAGCCCGGTCTTGGGGAAGCCCAGCCATCCCGGCCCAAGGAAATCGAGACGGAGTGCAGGTTCGCCATTGGTTCCAGTAGCGGCAGAGTGGTTACCATATTGGCGCAATGGAACTTTTTGGACTTGTTTTTTCGGCCCACAGAAACACGATCAATCCGGAGGACCCGCAGGGTGGTGCATTCCCAGGCTGAATTAGCTATTTCCAGATCAATCCGACATGATCAATTTGGCGGTGGCCCTTTTCAGGGCTAACTTTGTAATCCCTTTGAATGGGTTTGACCGAATCGCTGAGTTTTACTAAGAGACACGATTCACGAATCCCCGCCCTTCCATGAAAGAGATGGATTTTCCGGAAGCAGCTTGGCGCCTCCAAAGTAGCTGGGCCAACCCCCAAACAACCAGGTGTTTCAGACAGAGGACTTCCTGCGCCAAGAAGAGTGGGATCTGGAAAGGGGCAAAACGTTCTCTTCGAATCTTTGAGGGTCCTAAGTAGCCCATGATTTGCGGTGGGTTTGGTAGGGGATTCGTGAATTGTAGATTCTTCAAATCCGCAACTATGAGGTACTTGGACCCCTTGGGAATGAGATCGATTGCCTGATCTTACCCGTGCCTGAGGAAAGTAGTCCCAATGTTTTCCGGACCCTCGGGTCCTACCCAACTGCGCTCGATTTGGGGTGGGTCGGAGAGCAGACGTCTCGACTTTTGTAGGGGTACCTTCCCTTTCCATTCTTCTTTCTAGAAAGCCTTCAGAACCCAGGGACAACGGCTGCATGGTTTCCCTTGCACCCTCCCTCGCAACCCCAGCCCTAACTCCTCTAAATCACGGTAGGCTCGCGCAGAATTATACATGCATTCGAAGAATAACCCTACAGAGTCGCGTTTCTCATGTACTTTTTGGCAGCCGTGCACCCAAAAGTTGTCTCTTGGTCGCTGCCTGTTTTGGGCGGCGGTGATGCTGATGCAAGGGCCAGAAACTGCACGAACAGGAGTTTAGGCCTAACTCAAGAGTTGCCCTAAACCCCAAACCCTAAACCCTAAACTCCCAAACCCTGAACCCTACACCGTTGGCGAAGCGTCCTGTAGACTTTAACAGCCGCTGGCTGTTTAGAAGAGGGGAATGCTTTGAACGTGGCCATTGAGGTCCAGCCCAACTTGTCTTTTTTGGGGTCCTTTCATGGTTGTTCTTGTGAAACATTTTACATTTTTGCTTATTGTGGTTTAGTGGGAAATACCCACTGAACTGCTAAACTATATTTTTTGCTCCCCTTCCAACATCAACCAAGCAATGGGGAAACAAAACAAAAACGGTCACATGTTTCATGAATTGCGAAAGAGGGGCTATAAGGCTTCGATGGCCGAAATAAACAGAAAAGCCCAGATGAAATCATTGTAGGATGAAAATGTTCGTAGTTATTTAGCCCCTCCTACTGGGTTCACTATAGTTCCATTTCTTTTATGGAAGCTTACATACGGAGCAGAGTCTCAAACCACAATGTTATTTGTAAACGGTTCAATAGGCGGTTCAATAGACGTCCCTTTGCATCCCTTTGTGTTTTTAAACATCACCTTTTTGGCCTTCAAGGCGAGTTTCCCTTAAGGGTGACGGTTTTGTTGGCAAACATAGGGAACTCAGTTTCATTTTTAAGGTCCTTTTTGTCCCATAGGTGGTGTTTGAAGGTCAAATCAATTGGGAAGTGAGCTTACTTCGTGAGGGACCCGCGAAAACAAAAGAAGAACACGGAGGTTGGACCCTCCAACTACACGCTGAGCATCCTGTGCAAACTTCTGGGCCGGGCGAGGCACGCCTCGAGTCGAGAGTGTCGAGTCCAGCCGACCGAAATCAGGGACCTGGTGGCCATGAAAGTGACATCGAAATTTGACGCTGAGAATATCCGGTTGAAGAGAAACCTGAAAGGAACATTCTGTTGCAGGTTTTCCAACAGGGTTTTTCAGGATTTTCTAGAAGTGACATCCCCAAAAGGAACTTTGAGGACCCCTGAAACCGCTGACTTCAAGTGATTCAGTTTAAGGGTGTCCCTTTTGGAGAGCACCAGTTTAGGGGTTAGTTCAAAGTGAGGCCAAGAGACAACCGGTTCCTCTTTGTTTTGTGTGTTTGTTTCTTTTTTTTGGGGGGGGGGAGGGAGGTGGCGGTTTGCTGTTTTGAGGCAACCCCTCCCTTGTTGCAGGGATCATAGGATAACTACTTGAAAGGGGTCTCCAAACAAATGTGCGTCTTTAATTGCCATGCTTCTTTGTAAGGTTTGAATGCTCGACCCTCAATTTTAGAGATACCATTTTGCAATTCGACGCATGACCTTGCCCACCACACCAAACATATAAGCAGCATAGGTTTACTATCTATATATACACATACATATATAATCCTGTATCAGGTTGGAAGGCTTGGGTTTACAGGCTTCATTCTGCAAGGAGTGTATTGGATCATGCGGGGCCTTTTGGCTCAAGCATGATCCAAACTGGCTAAATTTTAACTTCTGGTTTGCGGGTTCGGCAAGTGTTACTTGTCGAATGTTGGCAGTTCCAGGAGTTGACTTTGCCGTACACACGGATCGTCCTATCCTGTCCACAGGCGCCTACCTCGACTTCAAGCGCCATGTGGGCAACTTGCTGGAGCAGGGGAATCGTGGCAAGGCCCGGATGCTCTGGCTTTCAGCTGTGGAAGTTTTGCATGCCCCTTTCGTGCAAGCTCCCCTGCCCTTGGTTGATAGTGGGGAGATACCCCACCTGCAATTTGCACCCTGCATTGATGCCCAGTGTGCGAGATGTGACGGGTCCCTTGGCGGCTTCAAGTTCCCGTTCATCGGCACTTGGTGCCGGCGTGCAGTCTTGGTTCAAGAAGGTGCATCTGCAGCGGAGGCTTGGGCCGCCTATCATGGGTGCTATGAGGGGGATCGCCTGTCTGAGGCCATGGTGGCTGAAGCAGGCAGTGGCCTCCGTGCCCAGGACATCATCCCGATGTATGTCTCCGCCATCGCTGGCCGGGTGGAATCTGGCGACCTCCCCTTCGTTTCCTTCAGGGGCTTCATGGGACCTGGAGGAAATGGAGCTTGGGTGCTCGGAGGTGGACCGAGCCATGGCCCAGGGAGAGCGACTCCCTGGCCAGAGCCACAGCGGGGAGGCTGCTCCGTGGGTGGCTGGACGAGGGTAGGAGGAACCTCCCTCTGGGCGGGCTTTGCGCCTACTGCGGGAGCAGAACTCACTCTGTGTGCGCTTCATGTGGCATCCATCAATGCGAAGTCTGCCCCATCCGCTGCTGCCAAGGCTCTACGCTGGGGGGCGCTGCTCTTAGCCATGGCGTTTCGCGGTGACGCCACTCCTGGGCGCTATGCCACTGAAGCCATGGAGCACTCCGGGGGCGACCCGGGCGGCTCTGGCGAGGGGCTGATGTCTCGTGTGCAGGAGGCCAACGTTCGAGCTTTTCGGCAGAAGCACGGGCTGTTGCAGGACTCCGACTTCGGCTTTGCCTTTGAGGCCTTCGAGGATGCGGTCCGCGCGGGTGGCCACTTCGTCGCCGCTGAATGGGCGCGGGTGCGGGCGGAGCAACAGGCTCACCTCCTCCCGGCAGGCGCGGCAGTGGTGGAGGCGGACCCCTGGCGAGTGACGCCGGTGGGGCCATCGACCCTCCGCCGGCCGGCGGTGCGGCTCCCCACAAGCAATGTGGGCCTGCGGTTGAGGCAGAACCCGGACAACGCCGAAGCGGTCGGCCGCAGGGTCAACCTGCTGACGGAGGCCTTCATGAAGCTGGGCGTCCTTCGGCCCCGGAGGTACGACGACCCGAAGCGCTATGCCGACTGGCAGCAAGCGGTTCGGAGGCTCGCTCAGGAACGAGTCACCCAGTCCGAGGCAACCACGATCTTGAACGCGGTGAGGACGTTCCAGGAGCTCTCGCTCTTCCTCGCAGCCAGGGGCGTGCAGGACCCGGAGGAGTTGGACTTTCACGCCTTCCTTGAGCAGGCTATGTCGCCATCGCGAGCGCTGCAGTCATTGCGCTGGCTGTCCAACAACGGCAGGTTGCAGTGGCAGCTGGACCGCCTGAAGCCCCCCAAAGTTATTGGGAAGGTGCGCAAGGCGAGGTCCCAGGCCGTGGTGGTGGAACCGCCCATGCTGCTCACCCTGGAGGGCCGGATCATCGAGATGCAGCAAGCCCGAGATCCAGCTTGGACAGCAGCGCTGTCGTCGTGGCTCGTGGCTTCGGGTTGCCTGCGCTACAAGCACTTGAGCTTATCCACCCCGGTGAAGATCAGCAGGGAGTTCTTCCACGGCCACTGCCGCAAAGGGAAGCAGTCCCATAACCGGCAAGGCTTCGACTGGTGTGCACCAGCTCGTTTCTCCAACGGTTGGCATTGGGCCGACAAGTGGTTGGAGGACTATCAGGGGCTTGCGCCGGAGCAGCACGACCCGGCCTCTGGCCAGGCGTGGCCCATCCGGGAGGTGCAGAGGGTGACTCAGCACCTCTTCCATGGCGTGGTGGAGCCCCTCGAGCAGCTCACTAGCTATTCCTGGAGGAGGTTGCTGCCGACGGTGGGCTCTTTGATCCGCCTTCAGGACGCGGAGATCGTTTCCCTGGGAGACTGGCAGGACAAGGTCGAGGAGCGTGTCTCGATGCCGTTCCACTACAGCGGCGGCAAGTACGCCTTGTCCATGCGGACCAAGATGAGAGCCTTCCTTGTGGCGGCCAAGGTCGCGGACTGCGAGGCCTGGGAGACGGTCACGGAGGAGGAGATCGCCGAAGCCGATGAGGAGGCCAAGATCAAGGCCGCTCAGGCTTGCCGAGGGGACACAGAGGTGATCTGGGCCCAGGCACCGCAGACCACGGCGCTGAAGAGGCGTTTCTCCCTGAGCCAGTCGCTCGTGCACAGTGCCCGGGAGCGGATGAGGAAGCCGGCCCCCTCGGCCAGGGCCATGCCATCCAGGCTGGGCGAGATCTTCCTCACGGGACATTTGAAGAACGGTACAGCGTTGTGCCCGGACTTCAACACAGGCGAATGCCGCCAGGACCCGTGCGCAAGGGAGCACTTGTGCGCGATGCTGCAACAGACGGGCAGGGCATGTGGAGGACGCCACCCGGCAAGCGAGTGCCGAGCAAAGCGGCGGATGACGGAGGCGAAGCTTCGCGAGCTGGGGTTGCCTGTGCCGGCTGACCCTGTGGAGGTGGGGGCGACCCGCCCCGCAGGAGGCGCCGGCTCAGAAGCGCCGGAGGATCTTGCCGCCGCCACTGCCAATCGCCCCGGCCGGGCCCATGTCATCCAGACCGTCGGCCGAGGAGCTCCGCGAGGCTGCAGCAGCCAGCCGCGTTGTGGAGGTCGAGGATGCGGAGATCGGCGAAATTCCTGCCTCGGTGGATACCATGCGCCCGGCACCAGCCGAGGTCCCGGGCAACTTCTTGGAGATCCCGGAGTGCCTGGGTTTGAACCCAGCCGACAGCAAATGGGACCGGTTGGCAACCGTGCGGGGGAAGTCCGCCCAGACCCCATCGCTGATCTACAACAACGTGAGAGGAGGAGCCCTCTTTTTGGCGGGCATCCCCACGGCAGTCACGGCCGCAGCCTTTCCAGCATGCAGCCTCCAGGTGGTTTGCTTCCCGGAGAGGCTGGCCCAGCGGCAAGGTGTGCCCCTGTCCGGGGCTCACGCGGAGTACTTCGCCATCGCCCACGCCGACCGACGACAGGAGGACTGGGACAGGGTGTGGCCCCTGGTACGGCGCTCGCTCTATCACGGAGACGTCGTCATCGTCCACTGCATGGCGGGGCGTCACCGAGCCGCTCTTGCTGCGGCGATGTGGCTGGCGATGCTGAAGGGGATCAGCCTGGCGGACGCAGCGGGGGAGATCCGGAGATGCCGCGATGTGGAAATCACGAAGACCCTGCAGGACCGCAAGCTGGCCGGATGGGTGCACCAGGCGCTGGCGAGCTCCTCAGCAGGTGTGTCTGAGCCGGTGTGCACCGGTTTCATGGCCACTGCGAAGAGCCAGGTCCACATCAGTACGGCCAAGGGATACCCGCTCTGGCAGCGCGTCGAGCTGACCGGCTGGCCTATCCGCTGACCACCTCGGACAAGTTCGAGGCCATCGCATGGGAGCAGCGCTTTTGCCGGACTTGCCTGAGCAAGTGCCCGGCTAGTTTCCTCCCTCAGTGAGCCAATTTTGGCCATGGGCGCCGGATTCGGGCTGCCCGAATTTAGTCCCCCATTTTGCACGCCATAGGAGTGCCGCGGGGCATTTGCCTGATACATTCTTCCGGGTGAAAAACGGGAGCGGCAGTACCAGGCATTGGATTGCCCCGACATGCATGAGTCACGGAGCATAGCCAGTCGACCATGCGGCATTCGTTTTTCAGACAGTTTCAACCGATTTACCATGCACCGTGGCAGGCACCCTGGGGATACCAGGGAGGAGGCCGGGGGGCGTTACCTCCCGTACGGCCGTCGGCCGCGGTATGCGGAGTTACCGGCGAGTGCACGCCAGGGGTCATCTTCCATGCCATTTTTAGCGAGTTGAGGGTTGGGTTGAATTCGGTTGTGTGTTTCCTCCGTTTCCCCCCCTCTCGTGTTTTTGGGGAGTCTGTTGAGGCCCAAGTGATTTCGCTTACACCTGGAAATCGCATGGCGACTTCCCTTGTCCCGTCAGACGGAGCCGATTGCCTGGACAGGCTCGGCAAGAATTTTCAATTGGCAGCGGAGGTAGTGGAAGCGCTTTCCAAGGCGGGCATCGCCAATTTGGAAGAATTCCGCTTTTTCTTCGATGGCTTGGGAAGATCCAGTTGGGAGCGGAAGCTCAGAT